CATTAGTTAAAATTCATTTGCCACTAATTTAAAAATTATATGAGTAACCTCTATTAATTGCCAAGCAGTATAATTTAAGAGTATAGAAGGCATTGTAAATAGAAATATGGTGGTAGCAGAATTCACCGTTTTATAAGACTAAGCAATAATATTCAGCATCTCATTCTTGATTATTTAAAGGTCTTGTGTGATGTTAAGACTAAGTTGTACCTGATTTACAGCCTATATCCTCTTACATTTTTTAATTCATTAACATATTGAAAAGAAATTCCATCTGGCAACAATGATTGGGGAAAAAGCCCTGTAGCTATATAAAGGCTTGTGGATACGTTAAGTATATAAACTTTTTGCTTGTTAACTACATTACCTGTTGTTTCCTTCTTTTGGAGTCTGTTTTTGTTTTGTTTTTTAAGGATTTCATGAAAAGCATGTCACTTAGGTGATAACAATTTTGACTATATATCTATGAAATACTGTATCTTAAATCTGGGTGTCAAAGAATTAAGTTATTTAAACTGTTGTATTACTAAGGGACAGGTTACTTTATGAAGCAGTAAAGAATTCAAGAAGAAAATTAAAATTAAGAAATGTAACAGATGCCATAACTGTCAGACATGAATTATGATTATATAAATTAAACTTATTCCCCTAATTCCTTGAGTCTTTTTTTCTTTGTTGATGGAACTCTTAAAGAAAAATTGCCAAAGTACAGTTTTACTTAATAGATTGAGGAATGTCTCATTTTGCTACTTTTAGCAAATAACTACTAAATGTAGTTATGTAATTGTTGGATGTTCTAGCTCTCTTACAAATACACCAGAAATCTGATAAGCACCCTAAGAAATGATTATATTGATTTGAAGTCACCATATGATGGTAAGAAATTCAGGGAAGTAAAACTTGAACTCGGAGTGTCTAGTTCTCACTCATAGTTACTCAGCACATAACCTTCCATTAGGTTTCTTAATAGAGGTGACTGCCCATCTTTTACTCCTGCAGAATTGCTGGTGAATTCAAACTGTGAACACACAACATTTGGGCTAACAGCAAAACACAGTTTACAGCCTAATGAGTGAATAAATGAATGAGTGGAATGCTTTCAGCGGATTATCTTGAGACTTAATTTTTTTTTTTAATGATTGAGTAGCATATATAATTAAAAAAATATATCAGCCACCTATAAATGAATAGTCACAGTAGGACACTGTAACTTCATTACTAAGCATATGCTGGTAAAGGACTGTAATAATTTATATTGGTGATGGAGTAAGGAAGCATCGATGGGCTGTAACATTGAATCTATTGGTCATTGTTATAACTGGGCAATTGTCTTTCATCGGTTCTTTTCTGTGGAATGCTTGTCTGTC